CCTTAAAAACTCTTCTCCAAACGGGACACATCCTTCTTTTGTCAGACAAAGCAAGTCTGGGCTGCTAGGATTTCTGGGAATCATCAATAGTCAGTTACCTGAGCTTCAGGAGGTGACCTTGGGCTCCTTACAACCTGATCCACCTTTTTTCTCACTCTCGCTGTGGTTTGCCACAACATTTCAAAAAGTGGAAGAGTGCTAAAAGAATTTTTCTTGTCTAGAATCTGTCCTGGCCTTCTGGAGAAAAAATAGTGATTTTTCTCTCAAGGACAAACAGAAAACTACTACTCAGTCAGACCCCACAAAAATTACAGTCTCTGCCCCTGACTCCCATTATCAATCCAAATACACACAGGATTATTCCTCTATTATTTCTCCCACTTGCACCCCCATGACCATTTTCACCTGTGTTAATGCAGACTCCCAACAGCCCAAAACTCTCTGATAATTTAACAGGAAAGAGTTCAGATAGCAGCAACAGCACTCAGAGACCTATGAAATATAACCTATGAGGAGACAGCAAAAGAATTTTTGTTTTCTTAAACACAGAGAAGACTGAACAGAGACATGATAACAGTCCTCAAAAATGTAAACAACTGTAGCAAAGAGGAAGGAAATAATCTCTTCTCTCCCACGTGGAGAGGATAAGAATAACAGGCTAAAATTGCAGCAGGGACATTTTTTTCTTTTATTAAGTATTACCAAAACCACTTGTAACTGTTGGGATGGTGTTACTGAAGCACTGGGACAGGTTGCCTTGGAAATCAACATGTCTGGAGCACTTTCAAAGCAGACTGGATCAACATCTGTGTTAACAGGGCAGATACCCCTGACCTGCTGTGCTCTTGGAGCTGGAGAAGGAATGGGTGACTCTCTAATATCCTTTCTAGCCTTGCTTTCATAAAATTTAATGATTCATTGGAGACATACATGTTCATTTTTCACCCTCTGGGAGAATTTTAGAAGTACTGCTTGCACGTGTGTACTCCTTGCTTTCAGAGCCTTCCTTGAGATTATTAATTACTCTTCCAAACACTGGGCTCTTCTCTGTGGCTCTCTCCTCTAACAGGTGAAGCTAGTCTGGCCAACCAGGAGCTGGGATCCTACCAATAATTAAAAGGACTAATATTCCTAAAGAAACCACAGAAAATGGGCCTTTGCCTACCTAGGCCCTTGCCTTCACTACAGTAGCATGCACTGCAGTTCTGCTGACCTTTGCTTTTCCACCTTTTCAAGCTTTTGCTTCTTTTCTGTGTTCTGAAACACGGAAAAGAAGAGCTGGGACAAGAAGGGTTGGCAGGGGCAGTCCCTGGCTGTCACAGGTGATCCCCGAGGCAAACTCTGCAAACTCCATCCCCAGCCTGGTTCACTTGTTTGTCCTTGCTGCTCTCACTGGCTGGTTTCTTCAGAACATGAGCACTTAGGCAGCCAAGAACCTTCCTGTACTTTCTAACCCAGCATTTTTTCTTGGCCAGTTTATTAATTGGTTCCTGTGCTATGGCTGCATTTCCATCTCTCCGGAGTTTTCCAGTTCAGTAACTGGCATCAGGATCCCTCTTGGTTTTCATTCTGTAAGGCTGAACAGGTCAGGCTGTATTCTTATCTTCCCAGGCAGTCAGGTGAATGCACCCACAGCACTCTTGTGGCCTGAGACAGAGCAGAGGTCACCCAGAATTACAGGGTGGAGAAAGAGTGTCCCAAAACCAAACCCAAGCCACTTTTGCAATACAAGACAAGGGCCTGTCAAGAGTTAAGAAGTGAAGCCTCCCTGTTAGAAGTGCAGTTGTCCTGCTGAAACTGTTCCATCTTGGATACTCTCTGAAGTGCTGCAACCAATCTGAGAGTGGAGAGGAGAGCGTTTCTGCAGAGAACTCAGCCTTCATGAGCATGGCTGCTCTCTGCTGCTGGGTGTCTCTGCTGGATAGAGTTGCACCCACAGATTTCTGCTCTTCTCCCCACGTTGCCTGTGAGAGGCAGCCCCAGCAGGGGCACCAGCATGCAGGGCTGTGCTCTCGCATCCAGCGTCCCCACCCTCCTCCACTCCCAGCTGCTTTTTCCATTTCCCACCGGACGCCCTCCCTGCTGCCAGTGGAAGCGTTTGCTCACTTATGTGCAGAACCAGGTCAGGGAGCTGATCCCAGCCAGAAAAATAGCCTGCAACTTGATTTTTGCTTCCAGCTGGAAGAAGTTCTGTCTGGTTGCTTGGGTGGCTGCACAAGCGCTTGGGCTGGCACAAGGGAGGGGAGAGGATGGGGATGGAAAGGAGCAGCTCTGCCCTGTGTGCTGCTCCCAAGTGAGTGGGGCTGATCCGCTGAGCCTCCCCTCTGCTCTTGGCTGATCTCACAAGGAAAATCATGGACTTGTTTTCCGTCATGCCCCAGATATTCCCCACCCTCCTTTCAGGGAACGCTGCTCTTCCCCCATGCCATCCATTTCTGCTCCAGCATGCTGTACCAGAAAGACTCTCCAATCAATCAATTAACACCCATTAGAACAGCCTGGTTTCAAAGGTGTCCCACTTATGTTATGCAAAAGAAGGGAGTTCAGGGGCTGCTTAATCTAAAACTGGTGAGTGCTACTCCTCCTGTCACACAATCCCTTCTGGAAGCTGGGCTGCATGTTCTGTGCCTGAGTTTTTGGACCATTACAATTGTGCATTCTTGCATCATAATTAACAGTTACTGGAAAGATATTTTGGAAAATGTGGCTCTTTGTAATCACATTTAGAAACAAGTATATCTAAATAACTGTGCTCATTGAGGCACTCCTTTCTTGGGCAGCTATTATAACCCAATTTAAAATAAACTCCCCTCTCTTCTCACATTTTTCGGCTCTGAGCTTTGCTGTTAATGACATAGACAAAGCATTTCCAAGAGTAATTTTATCATTTGGAGTTTTCTCATTTTGATGTGTTTGGTTCCTGAGACTTCCAGGGAGGCAGAAAGCCTCTCTCATGTTGTCCTGGGAGAGGGCAGTGAGGACCTGGTTTGATTGAAGGACTTCCAAGGACACAGGGGTTGCCATAAATTTTGACTGATTTCTGCAGTTACTCTGAGGGCATAGTACAAGATTACTACTCTTTGCAATACCTCTGTGGAGAGTGTGTTAAAAGAAAAAGCTCCTAGCATGGCATTTAGATATATTCAGAAAAAATAGTTTCAAAAAGACACATTGTTGTGTATCATGCAGTCCTGCTTGAAATCTGTGCACTGGTAATATTTGTCCATCTACTAAATGAAATCATAGATACTTCATTCCTGTCTGACCACTAGAAAATATTTTGTAGTTGGTTTTATGCTATATAGAAACGCAAAAAATCTTTGGCCAGCTTTCATGGGCTGTTTGCTGGAAGCCTGTTCACAAAGGACCTGTACAAGATGAAGCCCTTTTAACTCCCAGGAATGCCTTAATGAACACTGTTGGCACCCACCCAGGGTAAATTATCTATTAATAAACAACATATATTTATACCTTGATTAAACATAACATCTTTTTATAGAATACAGTAAAAAAAAAAGTAAATTAAAGCAGGTAATTATCTATATTAGCATCTGTGCAATAGTATACTCACAGAGAATTTTAGTTAACATATAGGTTCCTAGCAGGCCAGCAAGTCAACAACAGCAGCAGATGGCTGCATTTGGGGTTAAATGCTCTTTATGAGTAACCTCTTTCCTCTCACCTGCACTTCCCTGCAGAACTCAAACAATCACTTCAGTGATAACAAGAAGCAGGGACCTCAATTTTCATTCAAAAATAGGAACCTTGGTGGTGGCTTTTGATTATAGAATCAGCCTAATGGTTCCTGATGGGCTTTCAGCCTTAGGCCAAATCCTCAGGATGAAATGAGCTGTATCCCAGCCCTGTTTTCCTGTGGAACACTAGCCCAGTCCCTAAACACATCCCACTGCTTCAGCTCATACATCCATACATTAAAAAAAAAAAAAAAAAGCTGTATAAGAGGAATGCAGAGAGGTTACATTCATCAGCATTTTGAAATGAACTTGCAGTACTAAGCACTAGTATTTTCACTGCAAAAGGAGGCCTTTTGCTGGGAAGCATCAATGCAACAGGATCATCTACTGACAGACTTGTCAGCACTTTTAGGCAGGCTGGAGCATTAGAACACGGTGTTTGGCTGAACTGTTTAAACAGAATATATTCCTCACCATAAATTTTCTATGCTACTGTAACTACAGAAATTCTTCTTCAAAAGCCAAACGTGCCCACCTGATTTGCAAGTAGCACAAAGTAGCACTTTCTTTAAAATCTAGAGAATTATTGCTGATATTTCTGCCTGAGGAACCCACCTAATAATAATAACATGTTTTTCCACACTGTGACTTGATTCTGGCTGCACACATTTCCATTCCAGTGTCATTCACAGTTGTTTTTAACTTCAGCGAGAAGCAAGTTTTCATTTCAGCTAAAACCAGACATATCAAATTCAACTTAAAAAAAATGTTGGGAGGGAAAAGGAAGGGCATTTTGGCCGGGGAGAAAAAGGAGAAGAAGGGACTGTTAAAAGCATAAAGTGTGAATTTTCTCTGAGATGTAACACTATCTTAGCAGCAGCAACTAGCAGGCACTACTTTGTGGATTTTGTTTCTTCACCTTTTGGTTTTTCATCTGTAAGTTCTGCTGTGTGCTGGGGAGGGAGGGAGGGAGGGAGGGAGGGAAGAGATTGGGATGGCTGCTGTGGCTGCTCATCCCATGCCAGGAACCTCTTGGTACCCTGGCTGCATCCCCAGCTCCCTGCCCAAGTGAGCTCATGGGGCTCAGCTGGGCTCGCAGAGGTGGCACAGACGCACCACGAACATGACTGTCATGGAAAGTGTAAGAGGGCCGCTTGTTCCAGGGCTGCCTGGACAATGAAGAATGGGCTGCCAGGCCGTGTGTCGCCCCCCGGGCCATGCCAGCGCGGGCGGGATGCCGGCACATGAATAGCGGGTCTGTTCCAGCAGCTGCGCCCTGCCCCGCTCAGAGCTCCGGCAGCACCGAGCGCTGCGCTCCTCCGGCTGCTGGGGACAGACCCGGGGACACTCGCAAGGATGGCCTCGGACAGCGACAGCGCCAATCCCCACGTGAGTCTGGCTCGGGGAAATATCCACGGGAGGGGAGGGCCCCGGTTTGGGGGGAACATCCACCGCTTCTATCCTTTGCTCCTCAGCTCTGGCAGCAAATTTCCCTTGAAAACTCAGTTCTGCTTTTTTCCTCTGTTCCCCTTTGAAGAAAAACCAGTGGCAGGATGTCTGCTGCGTTCTGCCAAGAGCAGTTATGAGCCTTTCTCAAAAAATATAAGGGTTAGAAGAGGGATATTACTAAAAAGAGATGCTTTTTAGGGAAGGAAAGGTAGAGGAGGAAGAGATTAGCCTTCAGCCCTCAGAAGGAGGCAGCACAAACTCTACAAGCTGCCTAAGTCTGATCTGTCCCTCATCTCACAAAGCCTTTCTCTGTTTGGCAGAAAGTACTCTCAATCTGGAGAGGAGAAAAAGAAATAAATACAGCAAACACTGAGGGAATGAAGAGGCCAAGGTTTCCTATGTATGGCTTACAGAGAAACAAAACTTCTTGGTGAAGCTCTTTCAGTTCTCTGTGTTCCTGCTCTGAGTGTTTGTGTTTTTTAAGAAGGGTGTTTCTTGTGTGCAGCGTGCCTTCTCAGAAAGGGCAACTACCCAAGGGTTGGGAAAAAGAGAGGAAATGGAATCAAAAGCCCAGATCACAAACACCCATCAAACCTCAGAAGTTCAAGTCCAGATCTGCACTTCAGAAAACTGTGAAGGGAAGAATATGAGGCATTGCCTAGGGCACAGCTTCCAGCCCTGAGTAGGTGGCATAAGAGTCCAAACTTTGCAGCTGATTTTTCTGTCTGAAATGGTCTTAATCATCCTTAGACTTGGCAATGGGGAAGTCACGCTGGGGTCACAATTTTTGTTCCTTCAGCCCATGTCAAAGAAACTAAAATGGTAAAATTTGTGCCCTTGGAAATAATCAGGACAACATTCCTTAACTAGAAGGAAGAACTGAGGCTCCCCAAACCTGCAGAATATATCTCCAGTGAGATACTGGGTGCAGAGGAGCTTTTGAAGACCTGGGAGTAGCTATGCTCAATAAGAGACACAATTAGTGAGGAAGATGCACAGGTAGCTATGACAGTGAAAATGTACTTCATTAAGACTTTATTAAGGGAGAGATAAAGGTTAGTCTTTCCTAGAACTAGACAATAAGGGGTAAAATATAGACATCATTAAGCCAGGAACTGATGGTAAAGAGAGGACAAGAAAATTATACTAAATTAAAAGTCCAATGAACTCCCTGTATGTTAAATCACTCCACTCAATGAAAAGTTTCAGGTCTATCATGAATTTAAAGTCCAGGTATAATAGATGAAAAAAATCAGCTTCACTGATCAAAAATCTTATAAACTACTGCAAAATTTTTGGTTTAGAGTTTTCTCTTTCAACCCACCTTGAGGTTAAGTGAAGAGCCAAAAGTGATCACACCAGCATCCTTGGCCTTGACAATACTCAAATAAGTAAGTCCAGAAGGGCAAAGGTTCCTTGAGTTGGATGACTGAGAAGAACATCCCATCTGTTTCCAGAGCAGGGAGGTGTACAGTGTGCACCACTACAAACTGCCCCAAAAATAACTGTGCTGCTAAGGTTTCCCTTGTGACACCTCATGGGGAAGCACAAAACACAGGTGAATGCACACAGACTCTGGCATACTCGTGATCAGGAAATTCAGAGCTCCGGGAGAGGGAGTGTTACCCACTGGTTTAATAAATAAAACCCCTTAACCAAACGAATCTCATTTGGTTCAGACTCCAAGGGATGGACCAAGAGCTCCTCTGGTTTCAATCTGCTTTCTGAAAACCCACAAAGAAGCAGAGTTGACCCAGTGAGCATCGAGGCATGAGCTTGGAACACCGATCATGCGATTAACACATGAATAGCGAGCGCCTTTTCCAAGACTCATTTATCAAGGAACAAAGTAAGTTGTGGGTACAAGGAGTCTCATGCATACCTTTACTATCACATGTAATTTGATGGCAAGCCAACTACTTTATTCTATAAATAAAGGCCTGAGTGAGCCTTCTTTGAGCTCCCCTGACTGCATGGCAGTGATTTCCCCTTGCACTGTGACAACCCTCCAGGCTGCCTCTCAAAGCAGAGACCTTTTACCAGCAGCAGATCTCTGGTAAGTGATTGATACTGCACAGAACCCTGTGCTATGGTAGCTTTGATTTCTGCCCTGGTACCTTTGATCTTATCTCAGTAACTGTTGTTTTTTTTTTTGGTTACTTTTACTTGTGCCTTGGTAGTTTCAAATCATTGTTCAAATGATTGTGCTGTATAATAACAGACAGCTTGCCATCAAACATTTTTACAACATTATATTAAAATCACCTTCACAAATATCTTTGATGATGATTCTTGCAGTGATCTAAGTCCCAAATCATTTGTTCATGACAAATTGGTGTAGTTAGCAGAGTCCTGAATCAGGATTCAGAACAATAGCTGAGACAAGCAGAGAGTCCTGTAAATGATGTGACTTGTCAAGTGTGAGGTAAGGGGAGGAGTGGTCAGTGGTCAGTAGAAAAAAAAAAAAAGTGGTTTTCAGTGGAAAGTACATTTAAAATCCTCTTTTGAGTCCCTGCTCTGAGCAGTGAATGCAGAGCAGCTATCTCCTTGGAAGTTTCCAGCTGTGGGTTTAGGAAGGTCTTGGGGAATGTGCACTGCACACTGTAACTCCTGACTCACTCCTCCTCAAAGAGCTCCTTTGGATGGAGTAGCAGGAACAGTCATGAAGTTGACTATGATACAATACAGAAATAGGAATTTGTACTTATAGACTGAGGCTCCTGTGTCTGAAGCAGTTGCCAGTACCTCCTAGCATTTCTTACACAACAGGGACAGCCTGGGCAGGTAGCTGGAATGAAAACAGTGGACCTTTGTCCTCATGTAAGAGACAGCAGGAAGAGGCAATCAAGATTTAAGAAGGCTCTAAGGAGAACTGATCAGTCCCCAACGTTTTTTGCTCATTCTGAAGCATGAACAAGAGCTCAATCAGCAAAATTGAAAGTGCCTGTAACAGGACTCCCACATCCAGCATGTCATCAGCCTGTGGAATTTGCCATCTCCTGGGGCAGGTTAAGAGGTCAAATATTGGGGCGTGCAAACATAGAAGAGAGGTCGGGAGGTCCAGTAACAATATTTACAGTTATGCAAGCTAAAAAAGGTACCTTCAAATTCCACAAGCCAATAGCAGGATAAAAATAAATATTGGAACTTTTCAGTTCCCTACAGGCCCTGGCACAATTGCTGACCAGACCACAAGTGGTAGCTTGCAGTAGAGAAATTGGACACCAGCTCTCTGTAAGTGGCACCTATGACTGCTTTTTAACAGCAAGAAGTGTCTCCCCTCAATCCACTTTCTTCTTTACAAAAATTCCCTTGTTCTGTGTGTTTCCAACGAGTCTGTTTTCCCATTCTGACTTCTAGGAAGACCAACAAAACCTCAAATGGTGTAGAGAGAGGTGCAAAAAGGAAATGGTGCTGAAATAGAAAAAAGGCACAAGATGTGCAGCCTTACTTGATTTATGCCAGCCAGTCAAGTGCTAAGAAAATAAATAAAACTCTAATGAAAATATTTTATTAAAATATTAATTTACCTATTAAAAGATAAAAGTTTGACATTATTTAATCTGAATAATGCATTTTTGTGGCTCTATTTGTGGCTTCCAAGTGAAACTTTCACCTTCCTCTATTAAACACCTGTCATTGACAAGAAACCAGGCAGAGAGCAGTACCCTGGTGAGGTATAGCAGAGTATATCCTGAGATAGCTGGGATCTGAAAAACACATTTGGGATGGAAACAAAACAATCCAACAAGATCCCACCACCAATTTCCTTTTACTTCAGGAAACACAGGTTTATAAATTAAAAGTATGGCTTTGCTAGAAACACTCTGGCTGATTTGCCTGTACTTGTTTATGCTATTGTCCCCCTCACTCCCTCCAACCCTTCCAAGAGACTTGCAGGGGGAAGAAGGGAGGAGGAAGCCATACAGGTCAGTTCTTTCCAGCAGCACAAGGCCCATTAAATCAGTTCAGCTGTGTGCCTCAGCTCACCATCTGACATCTCAACACAGCCCTGTTTCATTGGTCATTTAAGCCAATATCCCAAACTTTGAATGGGGGTGACTGAGACAACATCATTCCACCACTCCCAGCACAGCAGCTGATGCTAAATGGTTCCGTATTTTTATTAGATTTACATTTTTATGTTTTCTTGCAGTTAACTTCTGTACAAATGGGTGTTTAAGGGATCTGTGCTGGATGAAATGTCATCCGTGTTCATACTGCAAAAGAGGTCCTATATTGTATGTTGTGTCTTTCTTTTTATAGTTTCTTACTCTTTGGATAAAAAAAAAAAATTACAATCCTCTGGGATGAGAAGCAGAAGTAATACCTCACCATTTAGGGAATCATTCATACTTCAAAAGTAAAAAGAGTAAACAGCTAAAATAATCATTCTGGAAAACAGGCCCTACACTGAAATTTTTTGGCAGGAGTTGCTTCATGAATACCTTGAATGGAAAATACATCTGTGGAAATAAAGACAGGTTTACAAGTAACTTGCAAGGGAAAAAATTATTTAAAGTAATTGCATAATTTACTTCCAGTGCTCAGTTTTTTGACCAGATCTACAGCAGGCAGACTTTAGAAAGGCAGATAAATAGACTCAGCTACAGATATAACCAGTGTGGACTTTTCCAAAATGCCCCCACACAATTGGAAAGTCCCCCTTACCACAGCAAATCCCATCTCTCACATCCTACTTTCAGTCTAAACCCGAACACACAGAGTGTGTGCTCACAGCTGGGCTGGACTTTCAGTTTTTTGGTGTTTTGTGGCTTTAACTTGTGCTTCAAGGCTGTGATGTGCTTACAAGTTCCTGGTTTGGGCATGTGTTCACCTGCTTCTGCAGCAGCAGCCAGTTTGCACTCCCTAGTACTCCAGGACCTCTCCTTGGCCATTCCTGGAATGGCAGCAGTGCCCTGCTGCCATCAAAGCAATGG